TACGATGCTACACCCAGGAGGATGTCTTTCTGTGTATAAAGTATGAGATTTTGACAGAATGAAGATTAGTAACACTAGCTATGCAGATATAGTGAGCATTAGTGATGTCTATGTACAAATAAATGTTGGTTGCACATTAACATTGAAATATGCATGACATGTACCCGATTTATGCATGAATCTAATTGTTACTCATTCTATTGATCTAGATGGATATTACAAATCATTTGATGATAAAAAATGAAAACTCACCAAACGTTCAATTCTTATTACTAAAGGTAGATTGTGTCACAAACTCTACAATACATAAGTTAAGGCAATTAAAGGTGATATAAATGCAGTAGAAAGTAATGTTTTATCAAATTTATTGTATAAGATACTAACTCATATAAGTGAAAAATGGTTACAAATCCTGGTAAAAAAGTCTCACATTCTTTTTGCTAAAGGTATGAGTTTAAATTATTGGTAATGATTGTTTATATGATAAACAATACAAAAATTTTTTTAGTAATTTTTCTGAAAGAAAAAGATATAATTGAATTAATCTATTATGATGTGTATGATCTAATTGATGTAGAAACATTTAGTATTAGTAGATATTTTATCGCTTTTATTGATTATCACAAAAGGTTTAAGTATTTGTTTTGAAAAAAAAATACTAAGTTTTACAATACTTCAAGCAATTTCATGTTATGATGTAAAGAGAAAAAATGAACATTTTTAAAGTATTTTTACAATGAGAATGGCGGCAAATACACTTAAAAAAAATTGAGAATTATGTTTACAATTTGAAATTAGAAATGAGAAGATTGTTTTTGGTACTGCTTAGGATAATGGTGTTATTAAAAGAACAAACATGATCATCTTAGATAAGGTTATATTCTTATTGAAAATGGCTAATCTATCAAAGTCATTTTAAGGCGAAATATTTTACACCACTTATTATCTAATGGCTAATCTATCAAAGTCATTTTAAGGCAAAATATTTTACACCACTTATTATCTAATGAATTGCTCTTCATAAGCTGTTTTGGATCTTGATATTCCTAAGAGATTATGTTCTAGAAAAGATGTTATATACTCTCACTTGAAGGTATTCAGATGCAAAGCATTTTTTCATGTGCCTAACGAGTAGAGACATAAACTAGATGACATGATTATTTCATGTGCTTTTTGGGCTATGGAGATACAAAATTTGGATACAAATTATGGGATCGAGTGAAGAAAGTCACCAGATCCAAAGATGTGATCTTTGATTAATATAAAACCTTATTAAACTTTAAGACATAGAAAACTATAAGAAATGAAGATATTCCTCTTCATGCTTTGATTTCTGTTTTAACTAAAAATGAAACTGATGAAGGAGTTGTGATTGATGATGTGCCAATACCAGTAGATGTCAACGATGGTGTTGAATAGGGGGAACAGCAGTCTCTACCTCAGATTATATGAGAACCTCATGTTAGAATGTCAACCAAAACACATCATTCATATACCATATATTCTAGTTCTAAAAATGTCATGATTATTGAAGAATGAGGGTTAGAGAGTTAGAGAAATTCCAAGAAGTTTATAATCGCAAAAAAAAAAAAGCTAAATGGACAAAAGCAACGTACAAGGAGATGAGTTCTTTGAATAAGATTCCTATTTATGAAAATCTAGTTTACATGTTAATTAAGATGATGATTTGTAACAAGAATCAGTCCTGCACTAAAGTGAGATTGAATGACAATTAAAAATATAAGTGAGTACATCTCCCCAAGTACAAGAGAGAAAAATTGTTAATTCCAGTCCATTAAAGGATAAAGATAAAAGATAAAAAAATATACAAGAAGATAAGCTTCGAAATTTTGGAAGATTTTCAGTGCGAGAATTTCAATGCGAATATAAGATAAGATCATATAATTTTTGAAAGATTTTCTAAACAGAAAAGCTTATCCAAATTGTTATTCTCGCCTATACAGGAAAATAGGTAGCATTAGAAGAGAACCAAGTCAAGAGAAGAAAGCAACAGAAGAAAAAAGGTTGTGTTGTGTGGGAGGTCGAGAAAGAGGGAGAGAGAAGAAAGAGGAGAAAGAGGGAGAGAGGAGAATGAGGAGAGAAAGAAGAAGAAAAAAAACGAAAATGCTTGGCCATTGATTTATACACATATATATATATATAGACACAATTGTGTGGTTGATGGCCCTTTTTTGTGTTTCTCTCTCATCACCATTACTCACACATTTTTGTTGTCTTTTTCTCTCTCTTCACGCGCATATAATAAGGAGAATTTATTCTCTAGGGATCATCTTTTACTTGTTTTCAAATATAATGGATTGTAGTTTTTTTTTTTCTATACTGAAATTTTTTTTCATTTATGTCTATTTTATTTTGAACTTATTTATCTACTTATGATTTTGATTGGTTATGCATTAATTGACTTTGATATTATTATTATTAGTTATTATGAATTAATATAATGATTACTTTAATTTACACAATTAATTATATTTATGTTCGATTTTCAACATAAATAACACATACAATGAGAGGCCTAATAGCACGCTAATTTTGGTTTTGTGACTCGTGGAGCCTCGGTTTACATTAGAGACAAAAAATTTCTTGTGTATAAATGTATGTATTTAAATTTTAAAGATTTCATAATAAAATTATGAATTAAGAGTCAGAAAACAATTATTTTAGGTATTTGTATTCATAAAAATATGTATGTCAACAACTAATTATGAAGTATTTATAACTTACAAACTACATAACTCATAATTTTATTTTATATATATATTTTTTTTTCAGATTGGGAAGAGGAGACTCATGCACAGAAAAATTAAAGGGGTGTAAATAAAAATATCATAACAGAATTGTAACATAAACCATAATTCCTTGACTAAATTAATAATTCTGTGTTTTTTTAGGGTTTATGAACGCAAGAATGGTGTAATAAGGGGGGCGAAGTGATGGAAAAATGAAATCACACCAAAAAAATTGTCCTTCAAGTACGGAACATGAAAATTATATGAATAGATTAGATATCACAACTATAAATACCGATGATCTTTTCCTGACTCGAGCAAGTAGCAGATCAAATTTGCAGAGAATCAATATGAGAGGGTTAACTGAGTGTTTAGCGATTCTGACACTGTTGGTTTCTTCCTGTGTGATTAGTAATGGAGCTGATACGGATTCACAGCTCTGCTCTACCATATTCCGCCAACTCAGTCCTTGTATTCCTTACCTGACGAAATCTGTCGTCTCCCCATCCAAAAACTGTTGCGATGGTGCAAAATCTCTGGAGAAGTACGGCCGAACCAAGAAAGATCGACAAGATTTCTGCATGTGTGTTAAGGCCCGCGCACAGTCGCTCAACGGCCTTGATTTTTCTCGCGCTAATCAGCTTCCAGACTTGTGTAATTTGTCTGTGGAGCTCCCACAAATGTCTCTTTCATTCGATTGTTCCAAGTAATATTTACAACTCATCTCTTTATATATTATATATATATATATATCACCAGATTTATACAGGAATAAGTTTCTATTTTCTCTTTTGTGAATCTCGCAGGGCTTAACGGAAGATCTGAGAGGATCGGAATAAAAGATGGTGAATCGTGTCTGTTGAGAGTTTAAACTAGAAGATCTGAGAAGGTTGTTTGTGCTTCATGTATATTAATAAACGTTTTGGAAGGAATAATAAACTTGCAATCCATTTTCGGTTTCTCCATTTTCAATTCAAAACATTACTCATAAGTTACACATTTACATACCCATTCATTTCCCACCTTCAATTTTTATTATCCCAAAAACCATTTAATTTCAAGTAAAGATATATCATTTATGTTCGCATTCCTTAAAATTAAAATTCTAACCCTACTCTACCTAATGCCACGAACATGTCTGCCAAATTTTCCTAAATGTTACATGCGGTTCTGTTTTCATTTCCCCCAAAACAAATGCAGTAATCAGCTTAAATATTTAATGAACACCGAAAATCTCCAACGACCAAAAGCACAAATCTATTTACAACAATAGACACAGGCTTCCTCCAATCCCATACATCAATATTCACATTTTCTACTCCTATGCTTCCTCTAACTTCCGCTAATGCATTCAGATCTCTCGGTCCAAGTCAATTTCTTTTGACTATCCATTTGTGGTTAGCTCCAAAAACCGAGCTATAATCAATTAGCAATTTGTCTCCTTCCCACTGCTCTACAGCCCGAAAAAGAAACACCAAGGAAAAGCAGAACCTACTCTCCCCTAAAACAAACAAACAACCAAGAATGGGGAAAAAGAAAACATTAATCTCAAAGAGAAAGATCAAGGGTTATATTTCAGTTTTCCACTGAATCTGAACTTATCACCGTCGCTTCACCCTCCATGGAGGACTTTGGCAATTTGCTTCCTGTACTCATCTTCTTCACATCCTCCCTTGAACATATAAATATTCTCTTCACCATGTTGCAGAATTCACTGCATGACAATAAGAACAAAGAACACATAATTAACTAAAGATAAAATAAATCAAAACCCATGGTTGCAAGTGTGTCCCCCCTTTCTTATATGAAGTACAATACTTACGACCAGGGGTCATCTCCCACAAGCATCACATCCCCTTTCGTCATCAGTGTAGACAATTTCCCACTTATTCCTTTGGATGAAGCTGCCCTTTGATGTCAAACATTTTCTCAAGCTCATCTATGAGACGATCATATCCTTTCAAAATGGTTAGGTCCACAGCCCGACCAACAGCTACACCCTGCATCTGGACCTGCTCGTGCATTCAGACAACAGAACCAGAAAGTTTTGTGAAACTAGATGAAAACTGAATATCTTAGAAAATTATATGTTCCTGCGAGTACCTTGGTACGACTTCGGGTAGAAGTGGAACAACTTTGCCTGCTATAGATCTCTTTTGCCGATACCTGTGCTTGCTCCTGTTTCTTCTCTTTAGAGGCCTTAGAAAGCTCAGATTTTTGGTCTGAATCAGCTGCTGACAAGCCACTAATAAGAAGCCCCTCAGTGGTTCCACTGTCAACACTGATGTGTTGCACAGGTGATGCCTTCTCCACTGGAACATTGCTAGTGCAGTGATTTTTAAGCTCAAAGCCAAACAATCTACAGCTAGCCAATGTGTCAGACTTCTTCCCCTTTTCCCCTGGGTCAAGAATTGGATTGTTGTTCAGCTTTGATGAATGTATGATAGAATAACCTGTTAGAACAGGCCATGTGGAGATACTTTTGCTATCCTCTGTGACATCCTGATACAAATGTGGATGAATACCCAAATGGGCAGATGGTAACCAGCCTGCTTCATTCTGTGTCCTTGAAATGGAGTTCCTGTTGCTGCTAAGATCTGTCTGCTTGTGATGCCGAATAACATGATCTTCATTTCTTTTGCCTTCAGCACTAACACTCAATTGCGTAAAATCATGGGACTGTTGCAATCCAGAATTCCAAGGACCAGATGCACTTGAACACAGATCTATAATCCAAACAACTTGAAAAAGTTAGGTATAACCACTTAGTGCCAATAGAGAATGTATACTA